TCGAACTCATGCGGAAGTGGCTTAAGCTTCTTAGTGCAGTGCTTTAACCCGCTGCGCCACCAGGGAGGGCCAGATAAATCTTTTAAAATAAATAAGTAAATAATAAAAAACAAAGCTATATAAATTTTTTTACAGTTTTTCCCCCCAGGAAGCAATTTTTAATTTGATAGTGTCACTTTCTGAAGAGCAATTTAGAAAGGAAGAATAAAAATATAATATTCCCCATTGCTCCTATAGTAAACCAGGCAAGAAATAATGAGGGCCTGTATGCAATTATCTGCATGTAATCCTCCCATGGCTCTCCACAGACCAAACAATAAGGAACAAAATATGGATTGGGCAGGTTTCTTTTGTGACTTTCATATTAAGCTTCTGAGCACTCAAACATTTCACATACAGTGTCCTCTTTAGATAACACTCTCTTCCTCTAAAAAATGCCCATTCTTAGAAGTGATCAAGTGTTAAGAATAAGATTCTAGAGCTAGAATGCCTGCATTTGAGTCATAGCTCCATCATTTATTGTGTGACCTTGGCCAAAATATAACCTCTCAGATTTCCTTTCTGTAAAATGACAGTACATCAAAAGCTACCTTGTATGATTATAAGATGTAAAGAATTCATATATGTAAAGTTCCTTAGGACAGTTCCTATCATAAAGCAAGCACACTTAAACCATTACTTCTTATATGTCATATCGTTTTTGATTCTTAAAGTTCAGCTTAAATATTATTTTTTTTCAAGATTTATTTATTTGTTCATACAGAACTGGGGTACAGGCCAGACGCTTAGGGGCGGTGAGAGGCTTCACCATAGACAGAGTGGGGAGCAGAACAGGCAGATTGATGAAGTACACTGCTGAGGGGAACAGCGGGCAGGTCCGGAGAGGTCTGCTGCACCATTTGGTCACCTCCGGGGCAGGCAGGGATCGAACTCATGTGGAAGTGGCTTTAGCTTCTCAGTGCTGTGCTTTAACCTGTTGTGCCACCAGGGAGGGCCCTTAAATATAATTTTCTTAATGATATCCTTCCTTAACCCACTTCAGTTTAAATTTCCTTTTTATGTGCCTTAACACCCTGTTCTTCTTTTTCAAGACATTAACCTAATTTAAATAAAAATTAATTATTATGCTTCTACACCAGAATAAACTCCATTGAGTAGATTTTTTTTACACTACATTGTCAGAGCAAGTATCATGCTTAATAAACAGTAAACATTCAAAAAATACCTGAAAAATGACAGGTAAATCTGGAAATAGCGGGGGTGTGGATAGACAGGAGAGATATTAAGGATATTTATGTCAGCTTTGAGATCAACTAGAGATAAAATAAAAAGAGGGAGAAAATTAGAGTGACTTCCAATTCTGAGTCTGGGAATTGGCACAAGTAGTCAACCAATAAAGAGCTACTGAAAACATAAATGAGGAAATGTGATTTCAGATAAAGGCGGGTAGCAGAGAGTAGAGGGAGACAACAACTACACTATTCTGAATTTGCAAGAAGATATCTAGTTTGAGATATTTGATAGAAAAGAAGATATTTAGATACAGAGCCTTAGAGCCAGATTCTGGAAAACGAAAAAAAAAAGGGACTGGGCACCTGTTGCTACAGAAGTGGCAGCTGAAGCCTAGGTTCAGGGTAGAGGCCACTCCTGTCAGGAAGAGAATCTGGGGTTAAAGGGGAAATGTCTGAGCCCTAAGGAAATATCACCCAGAGGACAGGTAAAAGATGAGGCTCGACAGAGGAAGTACAAAGCCACAGTCATGGAACGAGGAAAGGTCAAGAGGTCTATCAGCGAGGCCAAGGCTCTCCAGGCCTGGAGTTCTACAAAGCAGGAGTAAACAGAAGAGAAACAAGGATAATACTGAAATTATGTCCAATTACTTCAGGTCCATGGTTCTCAGAGTGCAGTCCGAAGACCAGCAGCACTGACATCACTGGGGCGCTGTTAGATATGCAAATTCTTAGACTTCACCCCAGACTTCCTCAATTAGAAACTCTGGGGTTGAGGCCCAGCAATCCCATGTCTAAACAAGCCCCACAAATGATTCTAATGTCCATTAACGTTTTAGTTCCACTGCTTTAAATCACACATGAATCTTTTTTTTTTTTTTTTTTTTTACTTTACTTAGATGCTAACTTTGAATTTGAACATCTTTTATCAAATTCACAGGGAACAGCAAGTAAACTTCAGGATAATTAAAAATCTTGCAAGACAAAAATCAATGAACAGCATAGAAACTAACAAGAAAATCTATGCCCCCAAAGAGATGACCACAGAGGCACCCTGGATTTTGATAATTAAATCCATTTTGTGGAATCCAAGATGGAGGTGAAATATGCCTAAAATCAGACTGATACCATCTTGGTTTTTTATGCTGGGACACATGCCTCCATACCTGGCCTTCTCTTCTTGAAACCTTTTAGCAAATCCCTTAGGAGAACTCATTATCTGATGTGTAAGCTAGTAATCCTGAACATATCTTAAGTGTGAGTATGTACCACAAAACATAAAAGCTGCCATTAAGCTCTCTTATAATGATGCTGAGTATGAAAGGACTTGCGGGCACACACACACTGCTTGGTAAATGTTTGACTATACAGCTGTCTACTAGCTTTGTGCTCCATTAGATGGACAGATGGAGGACTATACCATACTCTTTTTGGTTTCCCAAGATTCTAGTAAAAGTCTACACACAATATGTTTGTGAAATAAATGCTACCTCTGTAGTAACTTAATTTTCATTATTTTTATATAATTAGAAAAATAAGAGTGATTTTATCTGACATCAATGGGGTGACTTAAGCTGACAAAACTGACATGAAGCATTAAACGTAACACTAGCCTAGAACTATTGGATTATCAGAAAAGTCATGATCCATTTTTGCTTGAAAAACACAGAAAAAATATATCATGACTTTTCTGGAAACCCAGTATTTCCTAAATGCCTTTTTAATAACACTAAGCCCCTCCCCCTTTTTAAAAAAGATTTATTCGTACAGAACTGGGGTACAGGCCAGAGATGCAGAGGGTGACAGAATTCACCAGGGACAGAGTGGGGAGCAGAACAGGCAGATGGACGAAGTACACTGCTGAGGGGAGCAGTGGGAACACTAGGAAATCATTATTCTATTCTAAAAGTAACATCAATTGCACAGTAATACGAAATTATCGTGTTCTAAAAATGACATCAGGGCCCTCCCTGGTGGCGCAGCGGGTTAAAGCATAGCACTGAGAAGCTAAAACCACTTCCACATGAGTTCGATCCCGGCCTGCCCCAGAGGTAACCACATAGTGCGGGAGACCTCTCCTGACCCACCTGCTGCTCCCCTCAGTAGTGTACTCCATTGATCTGCCTGTTCTGCTCCCCACTCTGTCTCTGGTGAATCCTCTCACCATCCCTGGGCCTCTGGCTACTCCAGTTCTTATGCACAAATAAATAAATCTTAAAAAAAAAAATGACATCAATTACAATTACAGACATCAATTACTCTGGTGCTCTGATTTGGTATGTATTATGACTTCTCAATATCTTCCCAGAGGGGCCCTCCCTGGTGGAGCAATGGGTTGAAACAGCACTACGAGGCTAATCATAGCCCCTTCAGCACAAGTTCAATCCCCCGCCAGGGAGGTGACCCACATGGCATTGCAGATTTCTCCTGACCTGCCCGCTGCTCCCCTCATTAGTGTACTTCGTCAATCTGCCTGTTCTGCTCCTCATTCTGTCTCTGGTGAATCCTCTCAGTGCCCTCTGCACCTCTGGCCTGTACCCCAGTTCTGTATGCATAAATAAATAAATCTTAAAAAAAAAAAAGAAATCTTCCCAGAAAAAAACATGGTCATAAAATCTTTAAGTGACTTACCTGATATCCTGGCATGAAGATTCTGTTTTAAGGTGAAATCCTCAGGCTGAGAGAGAGACTGGAGAAGTGTCAAGGCTGACCTTTGAAGAGCACTATCAAAAACAGTGAGTACTTCATTGGGGAATGCATTGAAATATTCCCCAATTTCCATATTGGTCTCAAAAAGGGTCATGGCATTAACCACAACTGAATAATGAGCATCTTCATCCTTTTCCTTCAAGATTAGAAAAATATCATTCTTATGGTATTCTGAGACGTAAGACTCAAACACTTGACCAACCAGTGTAATTTGACCGCTATTCATCTTGAATGAAGGTAACTAAAGAAAAAAAAGAAAAACTGGTTGTAATTAATTCTGACTTTGTAATTTATTTGTCATTAAAGTAATACTGCATTACAGCATTAAGTAAGTTTCAGGTGTGCACCACTGAAAATCGATATGCATATACTGTTACTAAGTTCATCATTTCATTCTGACTTTAGAAGCACTATAATCTTAAACTACTACCTAAATTCAAATCTTAATTTGATCTGAATTATGTGTTAACAGTCTTATCCTTCTCCTGGCCATACACATGAGGTTTCCTCCAGTGCTTCATCAAAACACATAACTGAGGATGTTTTATGGCAAGCAAAGTGCACACACAGCTGCTAAAATTAAGTATCCTAAATGTATTACCTATACTATTAATTGGCAATATTTTCCCTTTCCGGAGAATCTACTATTCTGAAAGGAACAGGGGGAGTATACCAACTAGGCTAAGAATTCTGGCAACTACCAGTATAAAATTAAGAGAAAAGCACCTGTCTGTCCTAGAGAAGGTGAGAGTAAGTTGTGCCCAAGACATCGGTAAATAAATTGTTTTCTTTAGATAATATAAATTCAACCAAATGTAGAGCAAAAAATGCTTGGGAATGAACTAATTATATAGCAGTTTTTCGATTTGGCCTTTGCTTAAAAAAAAAACCTAGACTCTCAAGACTGGCTACAAAATAATCTCTCAGATTCTATCAATTCATACAGTATTAAACTTGGAGTACAAAATGTAGCAAGATGTCCCACTGTGGGCTGATAGGTTACAGAATTCATAGTTCAAATTAGGGCCGGATTAAATTTCGCTGTCTTTTAAAAAAAAAACAAACAGCATTCACTTTCAGTATCTGTGCAAAACTTATGTATCATCTGCTTCTAAGCTATTTGCAAGCCCTATACACATGCCCACCAAGAAAAACACCGCGGGCAGTTAGTTTCCCAACTTTCAAGTTCCCTTTCCTTTTTCTAACGATCTGCGGTCAAATTAAAGGCAAATAGTGCTACTTTATCGTCTGGACCAAAATGTCGCGCCAACAAGATGAGCCAGGGTAAGTTGCGACTTTTAGCGGCGGTGCCAGGCAATCCCGCCGCTCAGACTTCGCGCCAAAACTGGAGGGAGCCACGCCCCCCAAAAGGGGGGCAGTGCGCCCTAAAACCCGCCGGGCCGCCGCCGCCGGTGCCCGCGCGCCTGCGTCACCTCGGCGCCTCCTCCCGCGGCGCTGGTAGGACCGCTGCGCACGTTCCCCTCGGGCCGCAGCCCCTGCCCACATCCCCGCAGCGGATCTCTGACACCTCCAGGGCAGGGCCCCGGGGCAGCTCCGTCGCCGGACTGTCCAGACTTGTAGTTTTCGGACTAACCAGATAAGAACGAGAGTTGGGACTCGCAGCGGGAAAAGAGAACAAAAAACAAAAACGGGAAACGAAGCAGCGGCTGTCACTTACTGGTGGCTACGAGGCGTCAGAAGCCAACGGGGCGCGCAGTTTCCGAGGCCCGAGGGGACGGAGCGCTGCGGCCGGGCGGTGGGGCCAGTGGGGGCGGGGCGAAGGGCGCACGCCAGGCCG